AAAAAGACCCTCAGATATATAGTACAGAAAAAGCCAAGAAATTACACTCAGCACCCATTACCTTATTGCTCTGTTATCAACACATTTGATTAAATGCATGAGAAGCTCAAGTTAGCATTACTTGTATTACCAAACCATAGGGTGATTTTAGGAATGCTCCTCTCAAACATTTTTTAGTGTAATGCAACTTATTTGAATGTAAAATTATTCATTGCTTAGAGAAAGTAACATACATTAGTCAAACATCAATCCATCATTTAAAATTATAAATAAAAATGGCGTAAAAAATCTATAATGATATTAAATACATAAAAAAAATTCTATCAAATTAAAAGAATGCCTTTATGGATTGATCAAACCTCTAGATTCATTCAGTGATTTTTCCCCCTTTTAAAAGTGAGATTTTAACGCCCCTCATCTTCCACCCACTCCCCACTGGACCCTCCAATGATTGACAGCTTGACTTAATTACTATGTTTTACAGAGGCATTCACCAGAAAGCAGCAGACCTTTGCAATCCACAGTTTTTACCTCATTCACAAAACAGCGGAAAAAAGGCCTGATGTTATTAATCAAGCTAAAAAAAAGTTTTGTTTTTTTTTGCTGGAGTGGAAATTTCCTTAATGATAAAGATGGTGGAAATTATGCATCATTCTTAAAAACGCCCCAATTTCTCTATGTAAAAAATATGTATTGCAATTGGCTTTTTAATTAATCTTTGTTCGAAATGTGCCGCATGAACATGTTTTCTTTTTTTTGTGAGCAATCTGTTTCCCTCCATCTCAAGGTTGCTTGACTTTAAACTGGTGCACAGGAAAGACTTATGGGTGTATGTGCGAACCCTTTCATAAGTCTCCAGGCTTTTCTTGGTAGACTCTAATTAGCAAAGGGCAAGAAGCCTTCTGATCACTTTTTCACCACAGACTACATTAAAACAATGGCAAAGAGTGATACATACTGCAGGTGCTGACTCATTCTGTATAGGTAATTTTTAAATCCAATATTTTAGCATTTTTTGTAATGCTATAAATTTGTTCAAACACTGTTGTCACATCTGAAAGGATGACATTTACCTCTACTTGTTTTTGTGAAGAAACCTTTCCAGTGTATAATCTTAATCACTTCAACTTTAGACAGCCTCTCAATTACAAGTGATGCGGACAGCAGAAACAAAGACAAACTCTTTCAACTCTTATCAAGTGTTGATAAGCAGCTTTTGTGTTGCTCTCGTGGACTTCCACACATTGTGTCTGTACCTGTCGCTCCTTCCTTCAGACGCTTCAAGTCTTTGAGCCTTTGCAAACGGACATACAAAGCTCTGCTCGTGATACAGAGAGCTGAGTGATCACAGGATGTTGTCGCACATTAAACAAGTCCTCCTGTCTGTGGTGGGCTTTTGAAAAGAACACTCTGTCATCTGTATCTGACAGGAGAGATGAGCAAGTTCACTAGCAGAGATAGCTGAGATATCCGCTGCTCACTTAGCGTGGAAACACACCACACAGCGGCACTACAGAGTGTGTAGTCTGGTGAGGAGACAGATTGTAATGGAATCTGCTAAGAACCAACATGACATGACTGCTGGTCTACTTTTCTAATTCAAAACTTTTTCCATACAGAATCAACTTTTAGACTGTGACAATTAAAGTCTCTCAACACTTTGCTCTGAAATCATATGGGCATTTATGAGATGTAAATAAGTGTTTTATGCAAATATATGCTTTGAAAATGTTAAAGCTATGAAAACACTCAGATTTGCTGGGAGTAGGTGTGCCAAGGAGAGACTAAAATTACATTTTAAAAAATGTAAATGTAAGAATGCGAGACTAAAATAAAGCACAATCTAGTTCAGCGGTAAAAACAAACAAAATTATAGCATTCAAAATATACTCAATAAAGATTTTCGCAGCAATGACACAGAAGAAAGAGTCTTGGTTCCTCTCACTGAGAACCTGTCAGTGAAAGGTTCACAAAAAAATCATTCCATTCTTCACTCTTAAAGAACCTCTAACATCCACTTTTCCGATGCACAAGGAATTTTATTAAGTAAAAAGGTTCTTTATATTATTAAGATGTTCTTCACACAAAGAAAAAATGGTTCTTTTAAGAACTGTTCTCTGAAAGGTTCTTTGGGGAACCAAAAAATGATTCTTCTATGGCTTTGCTGTGAAAATCCCCTTTTTGGAATCAAGAGTGTTGGTCTGCAACTTTTTCTTCTTCAAATAACCTTTTGCGTTATGATCTTAAAGATTCTTCATGGAACCATACATTCCAACAAAGAACCTTTATTTGTAAGTGTGTTGGTTGAATCTAAAACAGAGAATTGTATGCAAAACCATCCACAATCTGCAAGTCGTCTCCCATCAGCAGCAGGATTATGCACATTAGGCTGATTAATGGCGTCCGCCACCAGATTACTTGATTTGATAAGCAGTACAACCCATCACGAACATAATACATCACAAATTGTTTTGTCAACAATTTATGGTACTATTTATCAAATGACCATCGCCACTCGCTGAGTAATAGTGTCATATCTGACATAATGTCAATAGAGAAGTTGAGCTAAGGGCAGCCAGGCTGCTGTGATTTAGACACACTGTGTGCTGACCTGCGTCTATGTTTAATTCATAGCAGATGAGCAGAAATAGATGGATTACTGTTCCTAGATCTGTGTTAAAGCAGAAATGGGTAGGAGTGGCTAGTTTGGTATGCCAGTCACATACCTGGTCCTGATATAGTGTTAATATCTGTGAATGCGCTGCTCTGCTTAGAGTAAGCGGATGCTTCAAACAAAGAATTTGCAAATGTATTGTTTCCTGTATCATATACCTGTCATGACAATTTTTTAAAATGTATATATGTGTGTGTATATATATATATGCATTTTTTAAAAGCAAAAATCATGATTACGACGAGGGACTTACAAAAAGCAGAAATGTTAAACTTTTAATTTTATAAAAGGAGTTAATCTAATTAATTTTTCTGTTTTATTTGGGATGTAAAAAAGCTGTTAAACAATAATTTGTATTGTCATTTTAAGGTTTGGGGGTTTATGGTGTTGTTTTGTCATGGCAATGAAGTTATAAAATTGTAACAAAAAGGATTTTGTTCCACACTAAATTAATTTCAACATGTATACTGTTAATGTATTGTGGCTATACCATTGAAACAGTGAGTATTTTAACGTTTAAGTGCCTCACTGTATCCTTGATTCATGCTTTTTTTTTTAAAGAAAAGCAGGTAAGTGGAAATGTATTATTTGTGGTAATCAGTATTATGCTACAAATGCTGTTGATTGAGCTTAACTTGTACTGAACCTGGAATATTTTCTTTCTGAAACACCACTACTTGATAAATTTGTGCACATAAATGGTGGTGATGACTTGACTTTTTCTAGGTCAAATAAAAGCTCCTTATATGATAAGACTTGGCATATTGTACCAAAAATCAATAGCAAGTAGGAATAGGAGATATTCAGGCTGTCTGTACTAACATTCCCAAATCAAGCACAGTAAAAGAAAAAAGAAGAAGAAAAAAAGTACCTCATTTATTGTATCAAAACAGTTTTTCGCTTCACAGTGCAAAAGGAAAGAAAAGCAATCTGAAATCCCACCTCTTCACATAATCATTCTAGTCATCATCGTGATGGTCAACAATTTCTGGCTGCTTGTTTTATGATGTTGTCAAAACAGGCCTGCACACCTTCATAATTTGACAAGCTTTCCGGATAGCGTGCCCTTGGAATGAAGGCCGTGGTCCAAGCCGTTATCAAGGGGATCAATGCTGCTCCTGAGATTGGGCTGCGAGTGGCAAATAAATTCCACAGCAAAAACATCAGTTCCACAGGTATGAACAAAAAGAGGTGAGCCAGCGCTGGCTGGTATATATGGCTCTCGTCCAAAGCACCACTGGCTCATCTTAAAGGTTACAGTGACTAGCCTGTGCACTAGTGTTAACAGAGCTTTCCCTCTCTGGGTTTATGGTCTGTGTAATAATTTTAAGCAAAGTGAAGTGTGTGTTTCCACAGGAGATGTTGGAGGAACAGCTGCGGGCCAGGGAGGAGGACAAGTGGAGAATGATTGATCACTGGGAGCGAAGAAGCTGTGTACCGCTCACCTTCCCCCTGCGAGGCTCCACGCCTGCCCCTGATCCCTTACATCTGCCTGCCCTTAGCAGAGCTGGAGGAAGAGGCCCGGCTGGATCTACTCACATGTCTCTGTACTCTGGAATAGGAGAGACTCTGAAAACACGGGCCAAACCTTAAACTGGGATGCCATTGCTTTCATTATATGTGTGAAGGAAATGTTGCTTATGACTCTTTTTTTTCAGTTACTTTAGGGAAATGTGTGATAGGAGACCTAAAACAGTGTAAAAGACACATTTGTTCGTTGTTGAAGTTAGCTGATTTTGCACAATGATAGCACTGCATTGGAAAGTTCAAATGAAATGAATAAAAACTTTTATTTGATTTCTCATGTAAAATGTATGCATAAAAATGTATGCATACAAAAATTTAATCTGTGATATTTACTTCAAAAACCAGTAGCTGCTTAAAAATATATATTATAGCCTAAAATACTAGATATTAGTAGAATACATTTGCACACCAATACTTTTTTTCTGACTCTTTCTGTATGTTACATTATTACACCAATAGGTGGTGACAAGTTATTGCCTTTTTGAGTGAATCAATGAATCACTCACTCAAACAATTCGTTTAGAATCAGCAATTCAGGAACGAAACAAGTATAAGTGAGTCATTGAACCATTCACTGTAACGATTCACTCAAAATCAAACTGATTTATTCAGAATCGAAACAAATAACCGCGTTTAAGAGTGAGGCATTGAAACATTTACTTTACAGATTAGTTTAAAATACTAACAAAGACTTTGATACTAAGCCATTTAGGAACGATACACGCGAGTGTATTTGTGTGTGAATCCTGGAATCATTCCCTCAAATGATTCGTTTTCAAAACAATGATTCATGTTGTTGATCGGTGATGCAGCGTTTGATTCTGTTTTGGCTTCGTTTGGAAGTAACTGGCAATATGTCTAAAATGTAAGTTACTCAATATTAACTTCTTGTTTATTGCACGGTGGTGTAAAATCAATATCTTAATCGCTTAATTATATTTTAAATGAATTTTAATCAGCTGTCAAACACCGTATATTCTGTAAACCAATACATTAAAGGCTATCCACTCAATGGAAAAAAAGCACGCTAAGGTTTTTATCAGGCTCTCTTCGATGATTTAAGAAATGTTAAAGATCTTTTTTTACTACCTGAGGGGCCTATTTCTTTTTAACGGGACATTGTTACTAACCTGTCAAAACGAAGCGATACTTTATAAAAAACATTCATTTGATATTTGATTGAAATACACCATTACGGTTTCATTAGCTCATCGATTTCGCAGTAATCTCATATCAGAGACCATCAAGCAAGTTACATGCAATAACCTGGGGCTAAATGTTAAAATATGATCCAGACTAGCTAATGACCCTATTACAATCGACCCAGGAAGCTGAGAAAGAGAATCTCCAGGTTCTGCGGTGCCTCATGCAGGCTGCCCTCTGCTGTATCATCATCCTTACTATAAGACTATTACAAACCGGCACGTAATTCATCCAACCAGCACAACCAATAATGTAGCAAATTAAAAAGGGAAGATGGAAGGGGAAAAGCCCTCCATGTCTCCCATATTTTTTTTTCTTTTCCTCTCATTGTCTGCCTCTCTTTTCTTCAGCTCTATGATGTAAGAGGTGAATGTCCACCACTAACGACCTATTAAATCAGGCCTCATTCCCTCAATTTCTTCGCCCAACAGGCACCAGACCAAAACGTCTGTAGAGACCGACGGTCAGAGAGAGACAGCAGAAGCAAGACAGGCAGACAGACAGATAGGGAGTGAGAAGGGACGAACTGGAACCGCCCAATCAAAAATTATTGCAGCTCCATGAATGTGTCCTGTAAATGTTGGCATGCTAATTGTGCATTTATAACATTTTTTAATGGTTTGTTAATTGACCTCCCACTCTATGATTGCACTTGAAATTAGGTAATGACTGTGGGGGAGAGTTAACAACATGCCCTGGCAGAAACAATATTTCCCTCTTATTTATCAACCTGACCTGGGAGAGAGACAGAGCAGCTTTGATTGAATGAGGAGGATGCCTGCTGGGTGAAGAAGTTAAGCTATAGGGACGAATATAGACCAGAACTGTAAAAATAGAATTAATGCTTTAATTTTCTTTCACCGTTAAAAAAAATATAATAAGACATAATTATGAAAATTGCATTCAGTTGGATAACAATTTTGCCTTTTTAAACATAAAAATAAATTGGAAAAGCAAAGTAGTCACGATCTAAACTATACTTAAGACACCACAGTGTAAAAGACTAGTAAAAAAACAATTTAACTTTTTTTTTTCTAAATCCTAATATTAGGATTATTAATTAAAAACAGATTCACTAACCAGCATTAGAGAAACTACTTTGAAACTGTATAGCACAAGTTAAAAGCTGATCATATTTATAAGGAACACAATTTCTTATAATTAAAGGAACAGATTTTCAAACATATTAGAACCGTTTATTTTTCTTCAGAATATTGTTGTTTTAAAAATTAGCTACATTGCTAGCTACTAACGGCAACTAAGTGCAAACTAAAATTTCATCTTTTTAATAAATACCACTGTATAAATGTGTGTGTGTGTGTGTGTGTGTGTGTGTGTGTGTGTGTGTGTGTGTGTGTGTGTGTGTGTGTGATTATTACAGTTAAATACAATAAATAAAACTAGAAATGCTTCAAGTTCTACAACAAAGTCAGAAACATAGTAATTTTAGTGAATGTTTAACTTAATATATTGATATAAAAAGTGAAGATGAAGTATTCCACAGAGAGGTTTCTACATAGGGATGAATCAAATAAATCTGCAAATTGTTTATTTGAACTTCTTGATTTCTTGAACCAGTCTTCCCAGTTCTACTGTGCATATGAAAGAAAGCACAGTGTAGGAGTGTGTTTTATTATTCGCTACACAGTAAAGCTGTGTGTTGAATAAAAGTGACCTAAATGGGGAAGTCGTGGCCTAATGGTTAGAGAGTCGGACTTGTAACCCACAGGTTGCGGGTTCGAGTTTCGTACCGGCAGGGATTGTAGGTGGGGGGAGTGAATGTACAGCTCTCTCTTCCACCTTCAATACCACGACTGAGGTGCCCTTGAGCAAGGCACCGAACCCCCAACTGCTCCCCGGGCGCCGCAGCATAAATGGTGCCCACTGCTCCGGGTGTGTGTTTACGGTGTGTGTGTGTTCACTGCTGTGTGTGTGCACTTTGGATGGGTTAAGTGCAGAGCACTAATTCCAAGTATGGGTCACCATACTTGGCCACATGTCACATGTCATGTCACTTAAATAGTAATCTTAAAAAGGAGCCTAGGTAACACTACTGAAATTACTACTTTCACTACTTCTATTTATTTACTGTCCAAGACTGGCCTTCTTAAACATAAAGTATGTCTGACGGTAACATTGACGTATGACCTGCATGCAGTGAATATCGGGAAATGAATAAACAAACACATAAACTAGATAAGAGACTGGTGCTAACATGGTTAGTAACGTCTCTGGCACTGTCTGTTCAAGTCATTTCCTCCAATCTTCCTCAGCAACAGGACATGACTTGGCGACATATAGACGAGAGACTATTAAGTTGCTAGACTACTTGTGCTGTAACCTGGGCAATGAGACAGAAAGCAGCGCTCAGCAGTTCAGCTGGAATCTTAAAGACACTGCAAAGGTATGTTTGTGTTTATTAGGCTATTTGATGATAAAATAAAATAAAGAAAATAAGTCCCACCATTTAAACATCAAAATGTATCAATAAGGTTGGTGCTCAAACCATTTATTTGCATAACTTTTCAATACTATTAACATCTTTCCATCAAGGCTGATATCTGACCTGAATAGAGAGCGAAATGACTTGGGAGGCACTTTTAGGCAACACATTCGTAACTTACTCCACTGGAACTCCACTCCACCTCTCACTAAACAAGCCACTCTATCAGTAAATGCTAATCTCCTAATTAACAAGCTAATTAGGTAATTATGGCTTTGCAGAAGGATGCCTAAATGAATTATGACAACACAGTCACTGCTTTCTGAGACACCTGTGGGCCCCTTTTTGGCTGTCACAAAAAAAAAAAAGTAAGGTGACAGCCTGTTCAGTTTTCAAAAACTTAATTCTCCTGAAAATGATGTGTATGTTATGAGACAGGGGCTATTTGTTTTGAGACTGTCAATTAAACCTGTCAGATAAGAACGATTTTGTGACTAATTAGCACCCCTATATGCATAAATAAGCGATAAATAATTGAGTGCTTTTAAATATTAAAGAGATAAAAGGGAGCTATGTACAGTAGTATTGTGCTGGCAATACTAAAAAATAAAATAAAAAAAATAAACACAAATTTACATCATTAACACTATTTTCTTTAGATATGCTATCGTGGATTTTTTTTCCTTTTGCTATTGGAGCAAATGGGAATGCAAAAATTAGTAGTAAGAGTAACCACTTGGGGTGAAAAAATAGTATGCGTAGGACCAAAAAAAAACCTGGTGTGCTCATTAGTGAAAATAATCCTGAACGGTGGGCTTCTGTCCAAGAGCAATAATATCAACTGTTACCACTGACAACAGCGAGGTTACAGTGGCCATATTTGGGAGAAACTTCGGCTGATATTTTCAAGATGCTCAGTCTATAGGCATACTGCACTTTAAGCCGGTTGAAGGAAGTGGGCAGTAAACATCCAATAATAGAAATTGTGTTTATGTCATTATGTAAGCATGGCATCATGACCACAATAAACTGAAGTGTCTTTTTTCCCTCCCACCAAAAGATTTGCTGCCATACTTGGGGAAAATGAATTATGTTGACATATGGCTGAAAACAATGGTGGAAAGGCAAGCAACGTAAGGTAATGAAGAATCATACGGTGTTGTGGAGGAGAAGATCTGGAGCTGTTCCTTTGAGCCCTCTATGACAGGTATACAGAGCCACCTGCCAGCACAGTATTTCAGTGATAAATGCAGTGGGTCTGGGACTTCCATTCACTAAACTCGGGAGTGTGCTGGGCTGATACTTCAAGGTCAAGTGAATATGAAAGAGCCAAACCACACAGCTTGCTAAAAAGAGCGAGAGAGTGAGCGCCTCTTATCTGCTTCTTAACTTTGACAACTTCTAAATGTTATGTTGCTTAAATTCATGTGACGTGCTTATAATATTGGATGTTTGTGATTTTAAAAATTCATAATCTGTCAGCCGCACATGCTGTATTCAATCTAGTTCCTTTACACACTGATAACAAAAATGACAACGACTATATAAAAATGAAGGCGAAACTCTACTCTCTCTCTCTCTCTCTCTCTCACACACACACACACACACACACACACACTTAGACGCAGCCAAAACAATTGAATTACAGGGCTTGTGGCATGTTGTCTTAATCTGTGATATGTGTGAAATGGTTAATTAAAGGTGAGCTCATTATTCTTGCTCAGGATCCAGTAACTGTGTTAACATGATCCATGACTAATATATCAACCACTTATTGCACCCGAAGAATTTAATCAATTGCTCTGAACACCAATTCATACACAAGAGTTGAAGTAAATATGCCACTATAAATTCTACAGTTTGATCTGTATTGTTCAGGAGGATTGATGTTTAAATCAAAAGCCAACGGTTGTATTAAATATGGTGCTTATATCAAACTATTACAGAACAAAGTTATGGTATTTAGACAGTATTATAGTAGTATAGGTATTTAGGACAATATAGCCATTATTGTCAGTCTGACATAGCCTAAATACACATTTAATTACTAGACACAATGAAGGATGTGACTCAAATGTTGCTATAATATTTCTGTGTTTATCTCTTACAAATTGAAGTAGCTTAGAATTTTAAGAATTTGATTTCAAACATGTATGAAAACATTTTTTATAAAAAATCCAAAGAAATTCTAAACAAATACAATAAACATAAGCTAAAAACATAGTGTGTGTGTGTGTGTGTGTGTGCATAACCATATTTTTGGGACCAATTATATATATATATATATATATATAATTATACATATAATTAGAAAATATATATAATTATATGTTAAGATGACTAAACGTCTGTTACATTCACTTAATTTACAAGTTTACGCAGTAAATAAACAATATCCACTGTCCTTTTTTAATAAATGAAAATTATCTCAATCCGTGTTACAGCATTCTGTGATCTCCCCTACATCAAAACCATGTCTACATACATGTTTTAAAAACATACTCTCTGGCATAAAAAAATCAAATAAAATCAAATAAATAAATGCTATTTTGAATATCATGAAGCTCTTGAAGCTCCAAGCTTGCTGACAGATCCTTCTGTGCTTTTCACATTGTTTATCCTCAACTGGCTCATCCCAGAGGAAGTTTTGATTTTCTGCGTATCTGATTATTCACTCTTTAATTAGCCTGAGTTAATTTCCCGTGTTGAGTGTGTCAGTGATGGAGGCAGTCCACAGGGCCTTCAGTCAGTTCATGCACTATGGATCGGACTTTCTGGTGCCAGCTTTCACAAATTCTCAGCGTAGCATCACATGTTGGTGCCTTTGGAAGGGTGTCTGATTGACTTTCTTACTGTGCAAAAATTAACAGCTCTGTTTCCTCGGTATGTGTCTCTGATTCTTGGTAATTAGTCCCATCACATCAGTGGCTGTCATGTCACAAGTGCAGCCCTGCCAAAATGCATTACCTCAGCCATGGCACCAGAGGATTTCATAATGAATATTAACCTGTAGGTACACACAGTATCTTGTGGCAAAGTGCGACTTTTTTCTTTTCACTCACAAATAAAATGAAATCAGCTCATTTGTACCTACTGTAATGATACAATTAGCACAATAAATAGTGTCTGAATGCTTTTGACCAGTATAAATATAGATTATTACTTGCTTACATGCTTATAATAGATGAAATTAAAAATAAAATAATTGAATGCATCAATGCAATGAAGTAGAAAATAAAAAAGTTGAAGTTTATCTTTAAGATGTGAACTTTAATAAAATGAACTAGGCAATGAAACAATCAAAAATAGTGTTTGTAGTAAAATATACACATAATCAAATAATACAACTCTGTATTGTGGAGTTAGCACATATATATTTCCTTTGTATTCGTTTTTGGTCTGTGATGAGCTATTATTTACCTCAGCACAAGAACAAAAAAAGAAATAAAAAAAAATAAAACGACATAGGTTTATGACTTTGAACAAAAGACACGTATTTTAAATCGCAACAAGGCCAGCTTAAATGAAATGTAGTGATTTGGAATCGGAAACAGTGGTTTGGCGGGAAAAACACAGTGGGTTTAGGAAGGCGTATGTAACAAGCGAGGCAACTGGAGGAAGGCGCAGATATGTTTCAGTGTGTCTCTTTGCTTCAAGCCCACCGAGCAGTCTGCTACCATAGCAACTGCCGAGGAGCGCTGCGCAGCGCCGCCTGCTTTTGCAGTAGATGTCACCCGTGGCAACGGCCAATCAGAAGTTGATATCTCTCTGTACAACCGTAGGAAAGGTAGTGAGCTCTGAAGGCGGGCGTTCTTGCTCAGAGGGAGCCACCCATTGATCCTTGGGTCCGTCACTCAAACACGGACTGTTCGCTGATTGGTTCGATGCGTCTATTTCCAATATTATAAACATGTCCTTTGCTTTCCTGCCAAGCAAGGCTTGTTGAAGGCGACCGTACTATGGTGTAAGGAAGCGAGGGGGCCCGTGCAATTCATTATTAGTTTAAATCAGACAATATAAAACTCCTACCTTTTGTTTGTTTTATTGGAAATGGTTATAATGTAACGGCATCTCAATGCACGGGCGCGCTTTTAAATGAGGCACGCGTAAGTGGAGACTTAAACGCTGTTGATTTGATGCTTTGGTCTCATCATTATCATCACCAGCAGTATCATTAGTAGCTAACTGGCGTTTTGTTTTCGGAGGCTTCGGCGAGAAGCGACAAGAATCTAAGACCCCTCCTCTGCAGGGCGGAGCGTGCATTTTGATGTCGATTTTGTATCTTTTTTTCTTCTCTGACACGTCTGCACTGAGTGAATGGCATTGGCACATTGTCAATCGCTCACTACCGCTGCCATCAAACAACATAAAGCACACACAGCCCGCGCGCTCGACTCATAAATTTCCGCCAGCAGATATTTTTGCGCATCGCTTTATTGCGCGTGATTAATTTTTTTCCGCCAGTTTTTCTGTTTTGCCTACTGAAAGTGAGAACTTGTTTTATACGTTTTTATATTTTTTTCCTACAATCTGTATAGCTCTGGTCGCCGGTGCTGATGGTTTAATTGATTTCACTCGGCTTCTTTCATTTTCGTATATTTTATTTTTGGAAAATCTTTTCGAAGGCAATATTTTTTTCCAATTTTTCATCACTCAATGTGCTTATTTTTAATTACATAATCATTAATTTAGTTGAATTGTTACTTTCCATCGGAGGCATGGGATGTTTTGCTTGCAACTCTTTGTAATACTACGGGATTTGTCCAAGTTTTCCAGAAGTGCACAGGGCGAAATTATCCTAAGAAGCCCGCACATAAGAATTCCAGACATCTGCAAAGGACCCCAGCTCTTCAAAGAAAAAGACAAATTGGCATGAAGATTCGGACAGGATTGAACGGGCAACCACTGTCCCCTGAACGCTGAAGTTTACTTAAATAATAGGCAAGAAATATTGCGAATTTTTCTCCAATGGACATTCATACAGGAGGATCAAAGACGATTTAAATATTTTCCATAAAGTGATTCCTGAGACATCAATTCCACTATATTTCATCCAGCGATTTATTGTATTTTGCGTTGCTTCACGGTCAATATTTTGTGCAAGATAGCGACCCGTTAACCGCCGCACATGAAATAATCAAGTTGTTTTTGCATGTGCATTATCCGACTTTATTTCACCCGTCAGTGACTGAGCACGAGCGCATTGATTGTGTTGCGGCGGACTATGGACGAGCAAGCCCGGATCATGCAGGCTCTCGGCGGTGTCAGCCTGGCCGGTCACTCGGTACAGGGAGGCATGGCTCTGCCGCCTCCACACGGACACGACGGAACCGATGGGGATGGAAGAAAACAAGACATCGGTGACATTCTGCATCAGATTATGACCATCACCGACCAAAGCCTGGACGAGGCGCAAGCAAAGTTGGTGCATTTTTTTAATCTAAACGTTAATATTGTTTTGTTCAGAAAGTCTTTGTATTAATTCTTTCTCGTTTTATTTTTTTAAAATAGCGTATAGTGCTTCTATTCACACGTTACAACATCCAACTTTTATTTTACAGTACTGTCCACACATTGAGACTCTTGTCACAACAGTAATTTTTCACAAATGTTAATATAGTAATACCTTGAGAGTCACGTTTGCATTGAAATCCAGGTGGACGTATCACAGGTTAAAATCACCATTATGATGTATCAAGTTCTAAAGTTTAGACAAAATATCACAGTTACTTGTAGCTGATATTAAAAATAGCCTCTGACTTTTACATTGAGAATGATACACAGGTAAAGTATTCAACACATGTGGGCATCTCATTAAAAGTTCCTCACACTTTTCTACTTCTAAACTCAAGAAGGCCCTGATACTTTTACAGCCCTTAGCAACTACACAACTTTTTTTTTGTTGACAATCAATATAAATATTTGGTACTAATTTTACGTAGCTTTGTTTTGAACTTGAACTGTGATGTGTAAAGCCAGCTTTGCCTATGCGTTTATCACTCTCAATTTAATGCAGTTTAAGGTTACATTTAAACTTGAGACTTGATGAAAGTTTCAATGCGACAGAATTATGAGTTTTAAGTGACTATATATCAATCTCGTCTCTTGCTCCCAAATGGCACAGGAAACATGGGCTCAACTGTCACAGAATGAAGCCAGCTCTCTTCAGTGTCCTCTGCGAGATCAAAGAGAAAACAGGTAAGATACCCGAACGAAAAGGCAAAATTACGCACAGACATATCAAGAAGAAAAAAAGCAACAATACAGTGCCACTAATCCTTCAGACACCGCCATCTTTACTGTTTTTTTTATTTGGTCGTCAGCGGAGTCCAGTTGTACCAAGCCAAATCCAGCATCCACATTCCTGTTTCTCATTTCTGAAAACGAATAAATGTCATAATTGGATTTCTAAGAATAAGAGTGTGCAACGATGAGCCCCTCCCTCCTCTTTGCGTTGCATCGTGAGGCTGAACTGAGTGCCTTCTTCTGGGGGCATATGAGAGAGGCACGCCGGCAGATCCCTTGTTTACAGTGCGCTATTCTCACACCGTCCATTTAATCTTTCAAGACCCACACTTGGTGAATTGTTAGGCAATTATGCAACTTCGGGATACTGTGCATTTGTCATTGAGGATATGTTTTGTGCGGGGTTGGTGCTGTGTATCAGGCTTGTTTTGTTTAATGCGAGCCCAGTGAGCGTTGACGCGTGTTCCTGGTTCGGAGCGCGGTCCAATTCCTGCGCTCCTCTGCCTAATTATGCGACCAATTTACTGGATAATTATTGGCAGTATCGGCGGTCCTGCAGTTAATTATTGCCCCCATTTTATTATGAAAGACGCCAGCGCTGTGAAGGTTACATCGTTCTCCGACACGTGCAAAGACGCTTGGCGTTATGGCATCGTTGAATTTTGTTGTTGTTGTGTTAAAACGGACTTGTTATGGTCACGAATTATCAATGCCATTTATTATTAGTTTGATGTGAGCCTAACTTGTAAAAAATATTTAGATCACATAGTACACATGGACAAATATTTAAATCCTAATAATCTTATAATAATGTATGCAATTTATACTAAATAGTATGCGTGTTTAAAGCTTAATCTGGATTTCTTTATCAGTAATTAAATGCAAATTGTCATGAACTGTAAGTTGTCAGTTTTGCACCACTTACAAATTAAAGCTGTAACTAAACTTGATTTAATTGTTAGTTATTATTATTATTTTATTTTACAGTGTATGACTTTACTGACCACTGACGGAGACCTTTCAGAAGTGTTTATATGTGTGTGTATATATATATATATATATATATATATTTCAGTATTTAACTAAAGTAAAACATTGATCCTGAATGGCAACCATACTTTAACCTTTAGGGATTTTTTATAAATTAATTGTTGTGGCAGAAGCACGAACGCACGTTATCGTGCAAAATGTTTACTTCCATGTGGCTCGTGTGTGACACCACTCATCTTAGTTGTAATTAGAAGTGTGTTATAGAAGTGGGAGAAAAATATTTTTGAGTGCATATGGATGTCTTTAACAAACAGAAATATTCTATCTCCACGTTTTCTTACACTCAAGCACCTCTGAAACAGTGTGTCGCGCGTCAATCCAGCACGTGCGTTACCAAGGCTAAACCGCCTGCCCCAATGACACGGAACATTAGCATATGTCACTGTCTCACAAAAGACAGTTTTTTTCTTTGAGGGAGAAATCAGTACCCGTTGAAACAGAATCAGTTCAGTACGTCCAGTAGCTTAGTGGATATAATTTAATGTGCAGTTTTTCCTTTATGCTGCGACGGTTAACAAACGCGCGTGATGTGCGCAAAGGCGCGCGCGTTGTGCAATCATGCAGGGCACAGGCATAAAGAGAGAATGACCACATAACAAAATATGCAGAATCCAGAGAGACCCTAAGATAAGGGGCATTTACCAGGAATGTGCAGTATCTTATGAGTAAATTGTGTGTTACTGTATGTATAGGTGTACTCATGCAATGTTTTTCTTTCCAAATTCTTTTCTTTCCCAATTCCAAATTCAAATTTTCTTTTTATTCTTGTGTTTTAACAATTATCCATTATTTACTTACATATACAGTTATATGCAAACACATTTCTAGCATTATTTATGAGGAGCTTTTCCATTTAATTTTACATTGTACAAGTATTTTGATTATTTTAAACCCACCACCAGCTGTTGACAGTGCTTCCATGTGCACCTATCATGTTACGTTTAATACAGCTATGTCCCTTATTACATTATAGCTCTAATTAAATATGCATAAAGAGTAGAGTCCCTAAGTATGCTAATTATTTAAATGAGCTTGTTTACTAGCTCAGTTGCTGTAATCTCAGTTAATCCCTTTGACGCTGCCTGTTTGAATGGTTTCTTTTTCAACTCCTTCTTAACGCATCCGGACTAATTTCTTAACAAGTTTCATTCTGCTAATTTGTTTATTAACTCACAAAGTGAACACAAGCATGATATTTTCCTGTTCCGTACATGTATGTACGCTTTTTATTCTTTCCTGCTCTGTGAAATAAGACATAAAAAAAAGGTTTTCATAATATCACAATAGCAGAATTTTTAAATTGTTAAATAATTTTAAAAATAGACTAGTGAAGACGTACTTGTACTTAAATTTACCTGCTATAGTGTGCAGGTTTTGAGAGATGAGGAAAGCTGTCGGCTTTTTTTTTTCTCCACAGGCCCGTTGAAGGATATTGTCTCATCAGAGTGATAAGAGAGACTTCCACTGATAAGCATGCTACTACTGCTACTGCTTGTTGTTGTTTTTTTTTTTTCAGCGAAACACATCTTCTGGAGGCTTTTTTCTCCTTTAACGCACCACACACATACCTAGTGAACACCTAGTGTCAGAGCAGTATGTACTTTTCGCTTATCGTACTCAACAGATGCGTCGAAGGAATGAGTAGTTCAGGGGTTTTCGTCAGGGTTTGGTGCTGTTGCAGAGCAGAGCAAATCTGTGAAATTGAAAAACTACAATGTGATTAAGTTCCTGAAAGTTATCGGACAATTTGTGAATATTTAATGCAGTCTCTGCAACTTGTTGTAGATGTTCTGAATTTATGACTGCTGTGGAGATTTAATTTATGTTTGTCTTTAACCAGATAATTTTTTATTATAGATTAAAAAAAAAAGTTGCATCATAACTCAAATTTAGTCGTTATTATTTTTTGCAATTAATAGTTTTCATCGTTGAGCTTAGTGTGTGATATTGATATTGTACAGTTTGTGCCATGCAGTCACTGCTAAATGTATCTCTTTATACAATAAGAGAAAATGCTAACAACTGCCAGTGCTGATGTATGAATAAGTTCCAATCGGAGAGATTTCTTGGCCTTGTATTTGTGAATCGCAGCAGAGAACAGAGCTTTGAAAAGATGAAACATTCATTGTTGCTTTTGGATCTGATGCAAAGGGGGCTTAAAGGCGAAAAAGGGTAAATCAAACCTGAAGTGTTTGTACTGTAACTATGTAAACAGTGAGAAGGAAAAGCTGTGTATGTACATCTGTTTGTAGAGCGAGCGAACAGAGATGATGTGTGTGACTGTTCGTGATGCATGAGTGTGTTAAGAGTGTGTACCTTTGCCTTGACTATGAGAATGTCAGGGATGTACGCATTTACACCCCTAAACTGTCTGAGTGGAAGGCCTCTAGATCTTTCTTATCGCTCATTGCGAAGGTTGTGAATGACAACCGTCGTGTTGACGAGTACAAAAACGTTAATTGTAAGATTAACCACAGATTACCGCAAATTCAAAGTCTTGTCGGGCTGAGTTGTTTTTGGGATCCCTGGGGCACTGCGGAGAATCAGCATGAAGAAATTTCTTTCTTTTTCTTTTTCAAAGAGTGGCTGGGCTAGATGATTTGAGAGAGAGAGAGAGGGTGGGTGGAGGAGGAGAGGAGAGAGATACATACATGGCGGATAAATGGATAGAAGCGTTTTGCAATGCAAAGCTGTCTGTAGTGTTGGGGAGCTTTCTTGGCACTCCACTAACTGCTACTGGAGGCCCTGAGTAGATTTCCCCATTGCTAATGCCCTAGAAGTATTAATTCACTTTGATATGCTAATTAGAGGGCATTATGCAAGAAATGAGATTAAGTGGCAGCGTGAAGTCATTTGCCTGTCAGTAAATTGAGTGTTTTTAGCAGGAGGGGTTTGTTTTTTTTCTTCCCTTTCACTTTCTCTCGCTTTTGCATTTAAATGAATCAAATGAAGGGAATGTGGCAGAATGCTTGAAAATATTTTTTTTGTTAGCATATGCTGTTTTTTCCAATTTTGCTTTCTCAGTCTCTCCGTCTCTCCTTTTTTTCAGGTATCTGTTTTTCTGAGGAAGTTTGTGGTCTTTGTGAGGTGGCTATTTTTTCAAGTTTTTCTGCTTAATCATTTTAAACACCATTATACAATGCCATTCGCTTCCGCACCTGCTAACATTTTTTTGGGGGGCGAGGGGGGTGGTAATGAACAAATCCAATTATTTTACTTTAATTTCTTTGGTGCCGTTAACATATAATGTGTCTGATCCGGGCTGTAGCGATGGAGAAATCCCAGCAGGAAGGGTGAAAGAAGCCTTAACGTGTGGAGAATAAACTTGTCTAGTTTGTTTCGAGAGGGAATACAGAAGTGCAGTGGTGAAATGAGGAAGACCTCTGCTGGGTTGACTGTGTGCTAATCAGACAGTGTTTGCGCGTGTGCTCGGGTTGTTTGCTTTCTCTCCGCCGGTAGAGAGCAGGGCTGGCGGCAGCAGTGGCAGATGCAGCGGGAGCAGCGAGGAATAACAAAGGTGAAAGATTACCTCCATATGGAATTTCTGACCAGGAAAGAGAGAAAGAAGGCAGGGGGGGTTAGGTGTGCTCCGAAGCAACACTCCTTTCTGAAGTGAGGTTTAATCAATACAGAGCGATTACAGAAAACTATTACAGGGCCAAAATCATAGGCTCCTCTTTCTCTCTCGGTTTCTCTCTGCCTGCCTATTGACTTGTTGTTTTTCTGACCTTTGACTCATCAAGTTCAGAAACGGGAGGTCTGGAGGAGAGACTGCAGGAAGCCGGCAGTGTGGCCCCCGCTGCGCTGTTCCCCTCACACACACACACACACACACACACACACACACGTACACTATTTTTCAGTGAGGGTCTGTGTGTTGTTATTTGTGCATCCGCGGCAAG